AGAACTGTGAATCCAAATAAATCTTTTTTTTTTCTCTTATAAATCATCCAGCGTAAGATATTCTCTTACTGCAACAAAAAGTAGACAAAGACCGTTGGCACCTCTACCAAAATGCAAGTAGAGGTGGTTGCAGCCAGCTTCTGTTTATTCTCATCCACTCTTCATTTCTTCTCGATAGGACAGGGCCTGGCACATGGCCAGCATCTGGGCAGTGACTGTCAATAATGTGACTGTACATTGCTGACGTGGGGCTGGTGTGTTCCTTCCACGGTGCCCCTTGCCTGGATGCCGCAAGCCTACAGCACACTCTCTTGTCTCATCTCAGCCCCGCCCTCTCTCTCGAATTCCAGATCTGTTTGCACAGGGGCCAACTCCCCATCTAGATGGGGACATCCACAGCTCCCTAAACTTCTATTTTCTCCTTTCCTCCCCTAGGTCCTTGCCTGGTTTCTTGGCCTGGACACCCCCGGTGCTCAGGCCAGAATCTGGACATCAGCCTGTGTCCCCGGCTCCTTGTCCCCTACCTACAACGGATCAGTCAGTGGGTCCTGTGGGTTCTCCCCTCCCTGGATGCCTAGCGCTCCACCCCTCCTCCCACTCCCTCCCTGGGTCTGGCTTGGATTGCAGCCCTAACACTGGAACTGGCCCAACTGCCTCCAGGACATTCCTGTCCCATGCACCCTGGGGACATCTCATTTCCCCAACAACCCACTTCTGACCAGAGACCCCCTGACTAACAGCCTCTTGGTCACCCCCAGATAACAGCACAAGACCTGCTTCCTGCTCCCCTGGATCTAGCCTATGCTCTAACCGTGCTGGCTGACTGCTGGCGCCCAGAACATTCCGGCACTCCCTGTTTGTTCTGGCTGTTCTCTCTGCCGGGCACACCTACCCTCCTTCCCTCGCCTCCTGGGCAGGTTGCTCTTCTGCTCCAGCCCTGGCATGTCTCTGTCACCATGGAGAAGTCACCTCCTTGCTGAGCCACAATCACCCCCAGAAACAACTGCTCTGGGCTCAGGGCTAGGAGGAGATTTCTTTTTCCTGCCCCCCCACCCCTCTGACGCACATTCCTTGAGGGCAGGGATTTTGTTTTTTAACCTCTGCCCTCTCAGATCCTAAACAGAACGCCTGGCACTTGGCAAATATCGAAATGTAAATATGTGCCGAGCAAATAAATAGTTACTAAAGAAATGAGCTGAATCAGGGCTCGGTTACCCCCTGGGGTTTAGGGCCCGGAGTGAAACTACCCCCTCAACAGGCAAAAAAAAAAAAAATATGTGCAACGAATTTGATAGTTGGATAAAAGCATTGATTGATGTGTCATTTTGAGAAAAATAAGTGAGAAATTCATGAACTTTTTTTACAGTCCTCTCCCTGGTCTTTTGTATTATTATGTAATCTATTAACAATTACAGAACTCCTTAATTAGCTTTTTAAAAATTTAGGACCTGGGCTGGGGAATGTAGCTCAGTGGTAGAGCATTTACCCAGCCTACGCAAGGCTCTGATTTTTTTTTTTGTTTTTGTTGTTTTAAATATTTTTTTCTAGTTGTAGGTGGGCACAATATCTTTATTTATTTATATGTGATGCTGAGGATCAAACCCAGTGCCTCACAGGTGGGAGGCAGACGCTCTACCACTGAGCTGCAGCTCCAGCCCAAGGCCCTGGGTATTTTTGTGTGTTGTGCTGGGGATCGAACCTAGGCCTTGTGCAGGGTAGGAAAGCAAGCGACCACTGGGTCACACCCCCAGCCCCAGTCCTTTTTATTTTTATTTTTTGAGGCAGGGTCTCACTAAGTTGCTGAGGCTGGCCTTAAATATGTGCTCCTCCTGCCTCAGCCTCCCGAGTTACTAGGAGCACAGGTATGCACCGTGATGCCCGTATTTTATTATTATTTTTAATGTGGATTTTTTTGTGTGTTTGTGTGTGTGGTGTTGGGGATTGAACTCAGCGTATCTCACCTGTTAGGGAAGCAAACACTCTATTACTGAGATACAGTCCCAGCCCAGGCCTTGATTTCTTAAAAAAAAAAAATATGTAAATGCATATAACATAAAAGTACCATCTTAGCCATTTTGAGTGCACAGTTTGGTGACATTAGGGCCTACATAATGTTGTGCAACTGTCACCACCGTTTTCGTCACACAGAACTGAAACTCCATGCCTACTGAACAGTGACTTCCCATCTCTCTCTCCCCAGCTCCTGGCAACCACTTTCTGAATGACATACCCTTTTCAGAGAATCAGAGCTGTGGCTTAAAAAATGCCCCATCTGCTCTATTTGTCTGGTTGCTCCCTCTGGGTCCGGTTCACTCCCTTCCCCGTCTTTCCTGGAAACTGGGAGGTCGCTCTGGAGGCTGGACTGGAGTCTGGCTATGAGGGGGCAGGTCCTGGTGCACAGTAAGAAGGCCTGCAGCCTCCTGTGCCCCCGTGCCATGAGGCTGTCAGTTCCTGAAGGACTTATCCAGCTGGAGTTCCACGACATCTCTTTCTAGTCCCATCCCAAAGGGTCTCTAGGAAGATGCTCCCATTGCCCCTATAACTAGCTGTCTCCAGCAAATTTCATGCTGAATTTTCTCCCCAGCTCTTGTCCTCTGCCTTCTAAACCAGCACTGGGGTGGTGGTGGGGGCACTCGGTGGCAGAACACTTGCTTAGGGTGGTGGAGGCTCTGGATATGACCCTCAGGACCGGAAGACACATGAGCAGCAGCAAATGCGGCATTCATCTTATGTATTTAGTATTGGTACTAGGGATGGAAACCAAGGGCGCTCTACCACTGAACCACACCTGCAGCCCTTTCTGTTTTTTATTTGGAGACAATAAATAAGTCTCAGTTGCTAAGGGTCTCCATAAACTGCTGAAGCTGGCCTCGAACTTGCGATCCTCCTGCATCAGCCTCCAGGTTGCTGGGATGACAAGTGGGCACCATCTTGCACAGCCCCAGCACTAATCTTTAGCAGCCGAGGATGGGAAGTAAATGTTAAATTAGTTATAAATGTCCCCTGGTACCCAGACACTGCTTTTTTTTTTGGAGGAGGGATACCAGGGATTCAACTCAGGGGCACTCGACCACTGAGCCACATCCCCAGCCTTATTTTGTACTTTATTTAGAGACAGGGTCTCACTGAGTTATTTAGCACCTCACTGTTGCTGAGGCTGCCTTTGAACTCGTGATCCTCCTGCCTCAGCCTCCTGAGCTGCTGGGATGACAGGCGTGCACCATCGTGCGCCCCCCCACCCCACCAGGTTTTCTACTTATAGACAGAGTCTCCCTAATTTGCTTAGAACACTGCTTTTTATCTCAAGATGTGTTCTCATCCTTTGCTTTTTGATGACTAAAGGACATGAATCGCTGTGCTTTGATGTTATCAACCTGGTGTTTTTTTTTTTTTCCCTTCCAAACGTGCCCAAGTACACAATTCTGGGAAATTTTAAAAGAGTCAGGTTAAGATCTAGTCTCACTTTCAGTCATGATCTCTAGCTCATCAATCAGAAGCAGAGGTGTCTACATTGGCTCCAACTCTGCACAGAAGGAGCCCAATGGAACCCACTCAGTGTAGAATTTGAATTTGCAAAGGTTGGGGGAGGGGGCTGGCAATAATGGTTACAAAAATAGCTACAAGTTGCTGGACACCTGTCCCATGGCCAGCACATGGACTTCTTTCTACATTAAAATTTGCTGATTCTCCGAGGACAGCCCTGTGTGCCACAGTTCTCCTGAGCCCCTGAGTGAGCTCTGCCATGCACACACGCCCCACGTCCCATTTTTTTTTAACCTAGACAGGATTTGTCTTTCCACAGGTCTGACTTTACAGAACTGTCAATAAATCCACAAGCAGCATTACTTTCATTGGCTCTCCTTCACAGGCGATCATGACCCCGTAATCATAAATTCTTTTTAGTCCTTTTCCCCCACCTAGTACTGGGGATGAAACCAGGTCCACACACACAGTGGGCAAGCACTTGACCACTGATCCACACCCTGCGACCCTTTTTATTTTGAGACAAGGTCTCGCTAAATTGCCCAGGCTGGCCTCAAACTTGCCATCCTCCTGCCTCAGCCTCCCAAGTCCCTGGGATTATAAAGTGCACCCCTGTGCTCCCCCATTCCAATCTTAATTGCTAATATTTATTATGTCCAAATAACACATCGCATTTCGCACAATGACATAAAGGCTACAGAAAGCCCAGAAAGGGTTAGGGGGGCCCCTGGGATTTAAAGAGGCAGTAGGCAAGGAGACAGGAATTGAAGGAGACTCTACAGGTGGTCAGATTAACAAAAGGCAGAGCTGTCACCGGGAGCTGAAGCCCTGGGACAGGTGTATCTCCTGGGCAAGGTGTCCCCCCCCCAGTGACCAGGGGACAGGTCAGCTTGTCACACTGCAGACTGAGATGCCTCTTCTTTTTATGAGTCTTAGGTGAGGGGTTTCATAGGTGTTTGATGAGTTTGCATCTCTGGTATCCCTGGTATGATCTGATATGCCCAAGTGCCCTTGCACTTGGGATTTATTCAATTTGATATGTGCACAGGTGGCAATTACATTATTATCAGCCTGTGCCTTAGGATCCTGCTGTGCCCCTGGGGTCTGTTCTTTTTTGATGAGTTCTGATGTCCAACATCAGGTGGTGTCTACTCTCCTGGACAAGTTACCAAGTCCCCTGTCTTAGAACTTGCACTTAAAATACCCTAGCTCAGGGCAGACTGCTGCCTTATGAAACGGAGTGACCCGGGGCTGGGCCCAGCAGGAAACTGCTGACCATCACGACCCTGAGGGACCCAGAGCAGGGCACAGCTCAACCCCGTGCTCCCACCACCCGGGGTTGGCACCAGATCCCACACAGGAAAGGGGCTCAGTCCCACAGACCACCCCAATTCAGAGGCCAGCCACAGGCCCAGGCCACCCTGACTCCTGACTGATGGCTGTAAATTCGGGGGTTCCCACGACCCTCTCCAAGTCTGATAACTAGTTAGAATGGTTCGCAAAAGCTCAGCCTCCACTCAAGCCTGCCGTTTTATTATATAGGCTATAACCCAGGAACTCCCAGGCGGAAGAGAGAAGTAGGGCAGGGCGCACACGGTGGTGGTGGGAGCTTCAGGGACCTCCCTGGGCACCCGTCCTCCGTTTTCAGAGCTCCACCTCCAGTCCCTCGCCCCTCCCGAAGTTGGTGGGTGGGGCTGAAACTTCTCACCAGCCAATCATTTGTGTTCTTTCAGGTAGCCGGTCCCACCCTCGAGCTACCTAGGAGCCCCACCCTAAGACACCTCATTAGCATAAACTCAGGTGTGGATCCAACTCAGGGTTTGACGGGAGTAAGAGACGACCCTGCTGGCCTCGGAAAACTCAGGGTCCTTTACTATCCATCGGTCTCCTCGTCGGCAGACAGTATTTACCTTCAGGAAGGCAGAGAGGGGTAAAAAGGAAAAATAGCTGGTTTCATTGTAAAAATCAAGTTGGTCCTTGAAAAAAGTACGGAGCCCGTTTGGCAGAATGATGATACCACTGAGCTACAGCATGGATCCCTGAAATATTATTTAAAAGCTTTTCTAACCAAGAAAAAAAGTCTAATAATGCAGGATTAAAACAGAAGGCAGAGGGGTAAGTGTGGTCAACTGGAGAGGTGGTGCATTTATAGTTACTGAACCTTACTGCTAACAAGGTGATTTCCTTAGCCCAGAGAGAGAGACTGGATCTCACTAAATCTGAGGATCTTGCTAAATTGCTGAGGCTGGCCTCCAACTTGTGATCCTCCTGTCTCAGCCTCCGGGGTCGCTGGGATTACAGGCGTGCACCATCACTGCTGGCAGAATTTCCTTCCTGTGAGAGCTGAATAGTATTCCATACGGATAAGCTGCACTTTGTTTGTCTGTGTTCATCCGTTGATTACTGATTAGCCAGTGTGCGTCACATGCCCAGAGTACCTTTTGGCTATTGTGACCAGGGCTGCCACAAACACGGGTGTACAATATCCCTTGGAGTCCCCCGCCCCCCTCCCACTTCCCTTGGGAATAAACCCAGAATTGGAACTGCCGGGTAACAGGGAGGAGTGGCCCTACTGTTTTCTAAAGCCACACGGCTAGCTATCTGGCTCCAGAGTGATGCTGACGCGGCTATTCCTTGGGCCACACACACCAGCTGCACGTTGAGGTGGCCGCCTGCCCTTGACTGAGCAGCTCAGCTTCCACTGTTAAAATTAGAATTAAAAAATTAAAAAAAAAATTACAGTTGGCTAGGCCTGTACGGCTTCCATTTTTAAAAATTTACCAAGAAACTCTGATTTTTGTTTTGGGACTTAGCATTAATGTAAAATCTTTTTAAATTAAAAAAATCGCACAAATCAATAAATACTATAAATTATTATTCTGTCGCACGCACACACACGGACACACACACACACACAAAATCAGCTCTATTCCCCAACCTCCCGAAAGACAGCTGTCCAAGGACAGGGCCCTGAACTCACGTGCACTCAGCTCTCGTTCCTTCAGGGAGGTCCAGGCAGTCACTGGGTAGGATCCGCATCTGCTAGGAAAGCAATCTTTGCAGTTTGGTCCGAGCATTGGCCAGCAGCAAGTGACCGTCACAAGGCAGGTGCCTTACACGGCAGCCTCAGAAACAGAGAAAAGGTTCACACACACACACACACACAAATAAATAACGTAAAATAAAAATAAAATGTCAGGGGCTGGGGCTCTCGCTGGTAAAACACTTGCCTCCCACGTGTGAGGCACTGGGTTTGAGCCTCAGCACTGCATAAAAATAAATACAAAAATAAAGAGATTGTGTTCATCTACAACTAAAAAAAAATTAAAAAAAAAATCAAAGGGGAACGTCACAGGCTGATTTAAGTCCCTGCTTCTTGAGACCGAACAATGGCAGTATTTTGACGTTTCCCATAAAAAAAAAATCTTTTGGTTATAGCTATTAATATGATATCAGAAATCTAAGTTCTTTGAATTGTAACTTCACAGTCCTGTTGCTAAGGACTCACTCTAATCTGTTTCTTTGTGTCTGGAATAATAGGCATAATGGGAATCGTTGAATTTGGTATGAAAACCCATTAAAAAAAGAGCCACAGAGCAGTCAAGGAAATGTCTTCCTTTTGCAGAAATGATACTGTGTGGAAGACGGAAAAGAAAGCCATGGGTACTTATTGAGCACTTCATGGGTACCAAGTGCTCTTCCTATGTTACCTTTTATTTGTCGAGAATGATTTTGGGTGGAAGCAATAGATGACATGAATATAATAGATCTACTAGTCAGCTACTGCTGGCTAACAAACATCCCCCAAATCTCAGTAGCATCAGATAACAAGCATATTGTTCCTCACTCACACATACGTGGATCAGCTGGGGCTGACTACTCTTGGTTGGGTTAGCACCCAGCCACATCTCTTCTAAAGACTGACAGATTTCTTTTTGTTCTTTTCTTATCTTTAAATTTTTTTTTTAGTTGTTTATGGACACAATACGCTTATTTGGTTTATTTTTATGTGGTGCTGTGGATTGAACCCAGGGCTTCACACATACCAGGTAAGTGCTCTGTCCCCGAGCCACAACCCCAGCCCCATCTTTTCTATTTTTTTAATTACTGGGGACTGATCCCAGCAGTGCTTTACCATTGAGCTACACCTCCATCTCTGAATTTTTTCAAATGTGGACACAGGATCTTGACAAGTTGCTGAGGCTGGCTTCTAACTCGCCATCCTCCTACCTCAGCCTCCCGGGTCATTGGGATTATGGGCACGCGCTATCACACCCAGCTGACCAACAGGTTTCTTGAGGACCATTCTTCTCACGGAAGTAGCAGACACACAAAAGAGATAGCCCGATTGCACAAGCATTATCTGAAGCCTCTGCTTATGCTTCATTCATCCATATCCTACTAGCTCAGTCACCTGACCAAGTCCAAAGATAGGACCAGGGCAAGGGCACTGTTCCCTCTGTGGGCCCGCAGGGAACGGATCACTCTACATGGAGCAGAAAACGATTGGACCAACTGCCCAATATACCACTGTGGCTTGGTCAAGTAGGGATCGATCGTTTTTTTTTTTTTTTTTCTCTCATAATAAAAAGTCCTGAGGTGTGAGTTTGCTGCTAAGAGGCAATAATTGATTCAGGCACACGTTTTAGTGAGAACTTCATATAACTAGTATCATATTATATATAGTATGATACTGTATATGATTTTTTTTTTATACCAGGGATTGAACTCAGGGGCACTCGACCACCGAGCCCCATCCCCAGCCCTATTTTGTATTCTATTTAGAGACAGGGTCTCACTGAGCTACTTAGCCCCTCGCTTTTGCTGAGGCTGGCTTTGAACCTGGCGATCCTCCTGCCTCAGCCTCCCCAGCTGCTGGGATGACAGGCGTGGGCCGCCAGGCCCAGCCGTACCCTTTTTTCATCTCTGTTTTACGCTCAACGTCTTTCTGTGTTGATTCACAGAGCTCTAAACTACTCGTTTCAACAATTGGGCAACATTCCACTGCACAGGCACCTCAGTATTCCTTCTCCATGGATGACATCACTGCTGACCAGGCCCGGGGTGAGCGTTTCCCTAGCAGTCCCTCCAGAAGTGGAGTTAGTGGGGGAGAGACCTAAGTCAGTCCCCTTCACCCTGTGCCCTGGGATTGGCCCAAGCACAGCTCTTTGTTTACAGAGGACAAACCTAAACTCCAAACTCTGTACCCCAAACTTGGCAGATCTTTTTTCCCCTCCCCCAGTTCTGGGATTGGACCCAGGCACATGCTACCACCAAGCTTCACCCCCAGCCCTTTCATTAAACCTTTTTGAGACAGAGCCTTGCTAAGTTACCGAGGCTGGCCTTGAACTTGTGATCCTCCAGCCTCAGCGACCTGAGTAGCTGGGATTTCAGGTGTGTGCCTTTTAAGCACCTGGCTTAAAAGAGAAGCATATGTTCGACCTTCCCTGATGCCCTACTATGGTACCTTGTACCAACTTCCATTCCACCAGCCGTGCAGGAGATTTTTCAAACCCCCACAGCCACACCAAGACTTGGAGTTACGAGATTTACCTTTTTTCCTCAGCCAAAGCGTCTCTCACTCAGGTTTTTAATTGCTTTTCTGTGGTTACTAGTGAAGTACTAGACGGTAGTCTTCATGGAAGGGATCTGTTGTGGTCCACAGAGCAGGAGCCTGCACCTTCCAGGCCTTGTACTCCTCGCCCTTTCCTGTGGCACCTCTGAAGGCCATCATCAGATGTGGGCCCAGAACTGCGAACTAAATAAACCTCTTTTCTTTATATAACTATCCAACCTCGGGTATTTTGTTATAGTAATACATGAGAGACTAATAAAGAAGATTGTAAGGGAAGCCAAAAAACTCACTTTTTCCCCCAGCAACACACCAAGGCTATTGGCTGCAAGGACAGCTTTTCCCACAGGAACCCCTGTATAGGGAGGAGGCTGTATGTTACAGCTGGCCTTGCCACTTAGGGGTCAGCACAGAGGTGAACTGGCAGAGGTCACAGTTCACGGATTCAACTTATTTCTGATCAGCTGTGGGGAGGGGGCTGGGTTTGCAGTATAGAGTTTGGAGTTTAGGTTTGTCCTCTGTAAACAAACAGCTGGGCTTGGACTAATCCCAGGGCACAGTATGAAGGGGACTGACTTGGGTCTCTCCCCCCCCCCCCAGTTCTCCTCCCTTCTCCTCTCATTTCCCAGGGCCTCCCACAGCTAGGCAAGTGCTGGACCACTGAGCCACATCCCAAACACTGGTGTCCACTCTTTCTCCTCTTCCTTTGAAGCAGCTCCTGTGTGGCCCTACAGAGGCGGAAGCAGCCAGGGACCAGTCAGGCTGATGGGACAAAGAGACTCCCAATGCAGTGGCTTGGCCAAGATACAGCGGGCCTGTGGTGACGGCAGGGGACTGGTTCCAGGACAACCCCTCTGCCTACTCCCCATACCAAAATCTGTGGACATTCAAGGACTTTTAGAAAATGCCATAGTATCTGCATATAGCCCGTTTCTAGTCTTCCAAATACTTGAAATCACCTCTAGATGATTTATGCTACTTAACCCAAAGTAAATGCTATTCAAGTAGTTGTTATAGTGTATTATTTTAAAATTGGTATTAATAAACATTTCTTTTTTATTTTTCCGAGTATTTTCAATGCAGTTGGTTAAAGATGGATCAGGATTCATGGACATGGAGGGACAACTATAGAGGTATGTCACCCATACCAGCTCATGGGAGTCTTCTGCCTGTGAGTTCAAGGTTGCTGCTCTAGGTCTCACTGTGGGTCCCAGGGCCTGCAAGCCCATTCATTTTAAGTGCCAGACTGAGGTCGAGGCGCTCCTCATTTTTTTCTTGCATTCCATTGGCAAGAGCATAGTCACATGACGATAGCTGCAAAGGACACTGGGAAATGTAGTCTTTAAGGAGGCCAACATATACACTGCTAAAACTCTATTATTTTGAGCTGGGGTTGCAACTGAGTAGTACAGAGCTTGCCCAGCACATGTGAGACACTGGGTTTGATCCTCAGCACAACATGCAAATAAAATAATGGTCAACAACAACTAAAAAATATTTTTTAAAAAGCTCTATTATTTCACTGTAGCTTCGAAGGTAAACATTTTAAGCTTTGTGGGCAATCTGGTCTCTTTTGCAGCTATTCCCCTCTAGTGTCCGAGTATCAAAGCCACCATATATGTTACAGAGATGAGTGTGCATTGGTTGTGTTTCAACAAAATTCTACTTATAGGGCTGGGGATGTGTGTGGCTTATTTGTAGAACTGTTTGCATGTGTGAGACCCTGGGTTCAATCTCCAGCACCCTTCCTCCTCCCAAAAAATCTATTTGTAAAACCAGATGGATGCTGGATTTGGCCCACAGGCCAGAGCTCACCCGTGACCTAGGGAATGGACATTGGTGGATAACTAATGGTGGGTAATTAGAATCTTCTCCAGGTAGGCATGGCCACATGACCCCGGCCTAATCTACGGGACATAAGGAGGTGTTAGCTGGAGGTATTTCCTCCCTAATGAAAACTGAGTCCTGTGAGGAAAAGCAGCTCCCCCTCCAGCCTGCTTTGCTCTACGTCATGTGAGGTCCAAGTGCTTAGAGCTGTGGCAGCCATTCTATAACCAAGAGGCAAGGCCACTGCTGAACCGTGGAATTCACCCCTGGGACATCCCACCTCTCAGCTCCTTGTCATGGGAGAGAAACCCTCGTGGTGTGAGTCACCTTACTTGCAGCCAAACACCTCCCCAACCTGCAGCCCATCTGTTCCCTTTCCCCCTTTCTGCAAGCTCCCGGCTCCTCTGGCCAGGCTTACTCAGGGACACTTGTCCTAAATAGCCCACAAAGGCCACAGTAAGTATGCCCTCTGTGCCAAGAATGTAGCTGCTTACAAAGGACTTTTCTTCACCCAGCGTCCTGAATTCTTCCTTGGTGGTTTAAGTGAGAATCACAGTCACCAGTCAACAGGCATCTACTGCACGTCCCCTGCGTCACAGAGACTGGGATCCTTTCCCAGAACAAATTACCACCAAGGCGAGGGCCCCAACCCACACAACTGTGTTCTCTTAGGGTTCTGGAGCCAGAAGCCCAAAGTCAAGGTGTCAGCAGGACCACCTGTCCTCC